GGTGATCACCGCTGCTGAACCGCAGCGGCACTTTCCTCTCTGGTCCAGCCGGTGGTGCCTCCCCAATAAATTTCCACTCGCCCCCATGCAATTTTCACTTGCCAATTGCAAGGGGGCAAGTGGGAATTTTGAACCCTGTGGTAGAGAATTTATTATTTATTGGGACTATCTCACCTTTTTTGGGTAAGCTCTTTCATCAGTCTATAATGGTCAAAAAGTATACAGTGAGTTTTCAGAGAGGGTTTTGTTTAAGAAATCTACGTATGCCCACTTTAGCAGCATTTCGTAAGAATGGAAAGGGAGCTCTTATACAGGCTGGTTGGAAGTTTTATACAGTGAAAGAGAGAGATTGAAGGTGGGAAGCAGAAATAGTAATTTTCTTGATAATGAAAGTCCAATCTTGTTGATCAATACGGCAGTGCCACAGGTGAGCAAGGGAGTCCACTTTACCACAGACCCTCCAGCAATTATTCCAGTAACTCTGAAAAATTCTATGTAGTCAAATGGGAGTTCGTTACCATCTTGTTAAGTTTTTAATTCGATGCCTACAATCAGGAGCACACTGAAAAGGTATGATACAGTTCCAGATTTTTGCTTTTTTGTTACTTTGAAAGAAAAAGGTCATGCTCAGTTTTCCAGAGTAAAAGGGGAAATCTGAAAAATCATATTGTAGAAGCCACCCATAAAAGTGAGAGTGTGACTTGTTGCCTTGATTTTTAAAGGTATATTGATTTCACAGCTGCTATCCTTACCCTGGCTACCTTGTGACACACTGACCTAAAGCCAGTATGCAGCCAGTGAAGTCAACTGCCGTTATCAGGTTAGTGTCTCACTAAGTAATGAAGCCAGGATCTGGATGACAACCTGCACTACAGACTGTACTCAGTCTGCTGCATCCCTGGCCAGAGCCGTTGAGATTTGTCACCCCTGAACCTGGAAGTGCTTAGAGCTGAGCACTTCCCTGTTCATGCTACCCAGGAGAGATTAGCAGCCTGGAGTTTGTATACATGCCAGCGCTGCCGCCATCATAATTGTTACAGTGGCAGTAAAAGTATTAATTATATACTAGTGCCTTCCAAGCAATCCCTTATGACTAAAGGAAATCTGTACTGACGGAAGTTATCATTTCTTACCGCCTCCAGAAAATGCAACTCGTGTCTCTTTACTGCCTTAATAGATATTGAGTCCGTGATTAGGGAAAAAACATGCAGCAGGATTCAACTCGGAACTCCTCATTTGGCTACTTATTCAGTGTCAGTGACTTGAAAAGTATTGAAGCCTTTGTATCAGCATGACAAATAGGCAATTAACATTTGTAATAGCGGAGATAGACAATAGCAGCCTCTATAATCGTTCCTCAGCACACGATTCCTATAAGAGAATCCAATAACTGCTTTTGACAAGCCGGGTCATTCTGATTCTGTTATAAACATAATCGCTGCTATAGAAAAACCATCACGCCTGGCATGATTTTCCTTCCATGGAGTTTACTGACAAGTCCAATAATTCTGTCATTGATTTTCTGTGGGATAACTATATACAATGAGGCACACTGCATTGTGGTGTAAATGGGACCCGAGAAATAAATGTCCCCCTGTGAGGTCTAATTTGAGGGATGTTTCTCCATCAGTGGCTGAAACCAACTGGGTTCCATTGTCACACTCATTGGTG